TATTTTAAACCAGTATTTCTAGTGCAATTTCATTTCAATATTCCTTTGTATTAACAACAAGATCTTTAACTCCAGGGTTTGGGTTTTTTCATGACCTCGAAACCTTGCTTGTCAAGAGTCCATTGTTGCAAGACTTTACTGTAATGTTTGTGTGAAAAAAAGCTCAGTTCTACTTGCATACATTAATCTGTGTGTTAGCTGCAATTCTCGCCTCCCGTCATGTGGTAGCAATCCCACTTTAAGCATATTACTGCCACCTAAATGGCTTGTAGTGAGAAATGTACTTTTGTTAAATGTAATGTGACATAAATGCCATTTGAAAATTGGGTTTTACATTTTATATATATATATATATATATATATATATATATATATATATATATATATATATATATATATATANTCACAAACACACACGTACTGCAGTCAAATTGTGTTGTGGCAAGGGGAAGGCCACAACATTTAGGTGCTGCGTTTCAATAAAATCAAGCTAAAGTTTTTTCTGGCCTGTGTGCAAAAAGCTGTGTGGGCAAAAAATAAAATATAACTGACACTGCAAATTACAGTAAATATCATCCTCATAGTGATACATGATCGGAATATGCATCAGGCTGTACAGTTGGTCTTCTGGTGGGGACAATGAAGCTGGTCAGAGTTTATTGGAAGATGGAAGGATGGAAGCACAAAAGAACAGTTGGATAGGACCCTAAACATACAGACCTACTGTACAATTTTATATATTTAAGCTCAGACTACAATCCCAAGTAAAGATCTGTAAAGACTTGAACATTTCTGTTAATACGAGCTGCATCCAATGTGCTGAACTGAACTAGAAGTCTGTTGGAGACGTACAGAACTATGAAACACTGTGCAGCTCTAGTTATTAGTTTCTATTCATGAAAAAACAACTGGAAAAATCCCAACTGTGCTGTTAATGTGACCAACTGTCCAAAGATTAGATGTTCTCTCTTTTCCAACCATTTAGAAAAACTTGTTTGTTTTTTAGAAAAACCAGCAGCAGCAACAGGGAAACAACCACACAAACGGGGCAGGCCACACCGGTAACCCTGACAACAGCCACGCCCAGGGCCCGCCTCTAAAGAAAGTGCGGGTTGTCCCACCCACCACTACCTCAGGTGGCCTCATAATGACCTCCGACTACCAGGTGAGTCCGTCTGTCATTCTGCAGCTCCTTAGCCCCCCCATACAAGAATTCTTCCCTCACTGGGAAAAATTACCTTTCAGATTAAACATTGAGGAAGTGTTGTCTTTTTCTTTTTTTTTACTATGCAAATATATGGAAATAAAATTAAAAAAAAAAGCCACCCTTGGAAACTGTCATGAAAGACATTTCAGAGAACCAAATGTTGCTTGACATTTCAGTTTTCTTTCTTTCTGCAGCGTTCAAATCCACATGCTGCCTACCAGAACCCTGGACCTAGCACATCACTGCCCCAAAGCAGCATGGGATACTCCTCTACCTCCCAACAGCCACCCCAGTACTCCCATCAAACCCACCGCTACTGATACAACCCTTCCTGCACTTAAACAAATGCATTTCTATCATACCTACACACACGACTCTTGCCACGCCTGCCTGAACGAATGTACTGAGGGATGTGGGGGGAATCTTCCCATCAACCAATCAACTGAACCAACCCCACAGAGGGCGCTATATCTGCAGCAATCCGTCGTCGGCAAACTCGACCTGATCCAGAAAACATGCATACTGCAAATCTGTTTTAGAAACACAGCATAGAGCCTGATTCATGAAACAAAAAAAAAAAAAACAGGATGAGGGGAAAATGAAAGGAAATATGATTGAATCCAGCCTGTGTTATTCATACATAACACAAAACAACCAACAGTCTCTTGTGTCATCTCCTCCCCTCTGCGACTAACCCTCTCCCATCCTATTCACCTCCTCCTGTAAGAGCCTGGATGAACCTGAAAGCTGCTATGTGACTGCCAGCCTGGACAGATTCCCAGCCCGTTGGTCCTCCTCTCCATGTGTCCGTTTATGTGAGGGCTGAATTAAGCTGCTGGGAAGCATGCTGGGTGGATGCAGATCTCCTGCATCTGTTGAGTGAATTTTTTTTTTTCTTTTCATTTTTATTTCTATAAGAGGACAAAAAAAAAGACAAGATTTTAGTAGTTTATAATTTAATCTGTTATCATTGTTTTGTTTTCATGGCAAGAGCAGCTTGCCTAAGCCAAGCATTCTGCCGCTGCAAGCTGTGGGTAAAAGCCTTAGATTTACATGAGGGCAAAATCAACCAATGGCTTGGAGGAAGGCCGATGGAACATGCATTTTACTGTAATGTACTGAAATCTTTTACATGACTCAAATATCCTGACAATAAAAGTGGAAACATTAAATTTGGTGATTTTTATTTTTTATTTCTCTCTGATGATGTCGCTGCCCGGTCTGTTGGTTTTTTTAAACCGCTATATCTACCGAGGATTACAGTTGTGATGTACAGTTTCCACTTTTGGATCCTAATGTAAAGAGACGTCTGTGAGGCATTTGAATTTTGGGATCACTTTCCCTGGTTTAAATTTCTCTATAACTTTATCCCCGTTTTCTTTGACTTTGGAGCTCTTGCTCCAAACTATGGGATATCTGTCAATAAAAACGTATGCAGTGATGTCAGACTTTGTAAATGATAGCTAAGATCTTCAGCTTCAGATCTTAATTTGTGAGAATACATGTTAGAAAGTTACAACTTTGCAACAATTAGATCACAAATTTAGGAATACAGATTTACCAGTTGCAAATTTGTGTATGAATCACAATTCTATGATTGCAAATGCCAAACTTTTGAATAAGAACCACAAATTTACTATTAAAACAACAATTCAGTTTGTTTATATAGTGCCAATTCACAACCCATGTCATCTCAAGGCACTTTACAGAGACAATTCAACCAGATCATTACAGACTGAATCAGAGTTTTCTATCTAAGGAAAAACCAGCTGATCGCATCGACTCATTGACTCAAAGGCGATCACTCACACCAAGCATGCTTGTTGCGACAGTGAAAAGGAAAAACTTGCTTTTAACAGGAAAAAAAACCTCCAGCTGAACCAGGCTCAGTGTGAGCAGCCATCTGCCGAGGCCGACTAGGGTTCAAGGAGACGGAAGCAGAGATACAAAAGGCAACTCTCAACCAGCTCCACAGGCGGCCCTGTCCAGTTTAAATGAAAAAGTTCAAATCTCAAAATTAATGAATAGGAATCACAAATTTCAGGGTTAGAATTCAAAAATATCTAAATACAGATCACAAATATATGAAAACGAAACACATTTATGTGCCATTCCAGTACAACTCACAAATCTGTATATAAATCACAAAATTTTAAATGATCTTACATTTACTAGTGTGAATACATTTCACAAAAATTTATTCTTACACAAAAAAAAAATAATTCTTATTTGTGGGTGGTAAAGTGCTGCAAAGTTGTAACTTTCTAACTTGCATTAATTGTTTTTTTTCCTACAGATGATGTAATGTTAAATGTATTTATTAGATGACAAGGAACAGATTCTAACTTTACTGACATCAACTTCCATTTACAAATTCAGGCATCCAAGCATTCATTTTTATTGACCCTTATTTTACCCCATATAATCCACTTTGATAAGAGGATCTTGCGTACTTTCGCATGCAATATCAAACAAAAATCAACACCCTTAGTTTAATCTGACTGGCTAGACTGTTGGAAGACTGTATCCTAGATTGTCTGGATTAACATATTATGGTGGAGTGCCTTTTTAAGCATGTCAAATTTGATTTAAACTGATGGGAAGGGGATGAGAAAACATTTTTAAAATGAGTTATAACAGGATATTTTTTTTTTTCGTTTCGACACTTTCTATCTTTGATTTGTCCCACCTGTTGGTTATCTATGTTAGTAGTACTGCCAAACAATAAAACATGAAAAAGGAGCCAGAAAATTTTATTTTCATGGATATATCTAGATGGATTTAATAATAATTCTGTTCTGTACAGTGATGAAACGTATTTCTTTTCTTGATCGCCAGTTTTTTCCTTCTCTATATTTTCTGGTGGAAATATATTTTGCGGACTATTTTCAACTAAACACACACACAGACTAGATAAATAATCCGGATCAGGTTCTACTAAACCATGTTCTGGAAGATGCGGGCACAGCTATTTTTTAACAATTTTTTGTCATACAATATCCAGCTTCCTATATCGGTGTCATGTAATGATTTAGAAAATTCACTTCAACCAGATCATACAGACTGATTGATTCAGAGTTTTCTATCCAAGGAAAAACACGCTGATCGCATCAAATCTTTAAATCAAAGGCAATCCCTCACACCAAGCATGCTTGTGGCAACAGTGAAAAGGAATAACCCCCTTTTAACAGGAAGAAACCTCCAGGAGAACCAGGCTTGGTGTGAACGGCCATCTTCTGAGGCCAATTGGGGTTGAAGGAGACAGAAGCAGACATAGAAAAAAAAGCAGATACAAAAGACAACCAGTTCCACCGGCCCTGTCCAGTACAGGTCTAAAAATGTTTAAATATGAATCACAAATTTCAGGGGTAGAATTCACAAATATCTAATAACAGATCACAAATATATGAAAACGAAGCGCAAATTTGCAATGTCCAGCTTCCTCTTCTCAGTGTCCTGTAATGATTTAGAAACACAAAAATCTCTGTAATTTCTGAAGGTAGTTTTAAATAGTTCCTTTTTGAAAAGAGATAAGATGGTAAACATTTGTCATTTACAGCATCTTAGGAGCTGCCGAGCTAGTTGAATGGAAGAAAAAGATCCCTAGAGCAACGCCCAACTATTGCCCCGCCTCTTCCACTCTCAGTATTGCTTTAAAGCTGGGGAGGTTCCCTGTCAATCATTCTCATACAAAGATTCCATTGGTCAGTACAAACGCCGGTCATACATTAAACCTTTTGAATTCGTCTGTGATTGGCTGGAGTGTCTAGTGGGCGTTTCTTCATCCTCAAAGGATTTTCCCCGGAGTGGCCAGACAGGCTGGGGGGACACTCGATGGCAGAGCTAGTAGGAGTAACTAACGGGACATGCGGACGGAGTGATTTCTTCTAATATTTCAAGTTCTGGTGAGGGTCTTATAATACTTTCTACAATCAATAGTGACCCAGTTTATTACAATTATTACATTTATATAGATCTTCGTGCCGATTCTGGTCCAAATTGACCAAAGTAAATGATCGAGACTGGACATAAGCTAGCTAACCAAAGTGGTCAGTTAGAATGGACCCCCGGCAAAGGATAAAATGATACCCCGAAACATTAAATATTATCCCTCTTGTAAGAATATTTTGAAGCTATTAATACAATAATATTTGTTAGGAAGCAAAGTAATAGAAACCAGTGTAAAATAAGATTAGAAATTGTATAAAAGTGGGGAGCGAGAGGGATGAACAGATGTGGGTCAGTCCTTTAGTAACGAGAAGCGACGGTGCGGAACACTGATTGATCATGGTTGCCATCAATTTACGCCTCTCTGTGTGTGTTAGTGTGTTATAAACCCGAGGGGAAGGAAAAGAAGGCGAGTGCCTAAGCTGGAAATTGACATAGCAAATAATAGTGAGACAAAATAGAACAAAATTGCCTAAACTCAAACTTGTAAGGATAGATATATCAAAGTACTATAATCAGGGGCGTAGCCAGATCATTTTTATAAGGGTGGCCAGGCAATAACCAATGTACACTGAAGGGTGCCCGAAAGCGGATCAGCACCAGAACCTTGGGGTCAATCTATACGGATCCAGCAGGAAAATGAACAACCATATTTTCCAAATAAAGACAAACTATACTTTCCTACAGCATTTGCTAACAAAAAGATATTTAGACATCCATCTAGATAAAAGGTATAGTGGATAAAGTTCCTTCTTACCTGTTTACCTACCTTTTATCAATAATCATTCTGCATAAATTGATATTTACAAGTTCTAATATCTACAAAAAATCTTTATTTACTACTTTTTTTTACCATAATAGTTATTTATCTATGATTTAACTGAAGACGGACTTGCATTTTCTCTTTACCCCATATAGCACAAAATCTAGTTCTGAAAAGAGCATGAATTCTGTACTTATCGTCTTTTCTTAGTATATTGCTGTGCATAATTAACCACAGTGTTTTTGAATATTGAGAGCATTACTGTAGTATCACTTGGGAGTATTACTGCTGCCACTGTCAGTATTATGGGGGAAAAAATGGTAGGGGTGGCCAATGATTGGCTCCCCCTTTAGCTCCGCCCCTGACTATAATTAAAACATGAAACATCTTTCATATAACCAAACCAGGATGTGTAAGGTGGAACACATCCAGTACAGTTTCAGTGCAGTTTAAAAGTACAACATGCTTTTTCTTGTGATCTGTTAGATCTAATTTTGAAATAAAATGGCTATTTAAATGTTATAACATGTGCTTGGTATAATGTGCAATTACTATTTGATATCCTGTGCAATAACCTGTTTCTCTATATTTGACACCCAGTGTAATAACTATATATATAAATATCCATCTATATAAATACACATGTAAACACCCAGTGCAATAACCCTGTATAATAATCCTGCTATAAAAAAAAAATATCATACTGTATGTGGACACACATTATATACTGTATATATGTCCCATACACCTTTTTTCTTCCTTTGGCACCTTCTTCTTCTCTTTTGACTATTTTAGCCGATGTAACGGATAAATTTCTCCGCTTTGAGATCCACAAAGTTAATTAATCAATTAATCAACCAGAAGTAATGAAAACAGACTGTTCATATCATGAGATGCAAGTTTGTGCATTTTATATTTGAGCCGGTCTGCTTGCTATGCTTTTTGTTCTTTGATGAGTTTTTTTTTTTTTTTTGATAGGAAAAGCAATTAGTTTACAAAGCTGTAAAGGCTTATATTTCTACCATTACCATGAAAAAAAAAAACTCAGAGTAGTTTAATGGACTAGTGTAAAATGAAATAGCTTATTTAAATCTTTTATCAACCCATTACAAGTGTATCACGTTTGGGTCATGCAGACTTAAAAGCTTTTTAATTAGGCATTGGATGATGACAGTATGAAAACTGAGTGAAAACACAGTGGTTTCAAGTATATAGAAGAATCTGCTTCCAATTGCTTCTATTTCACAGAAAGCCACAATTTATACTGGTGCTGAGTAATGTTGAATATTACAATTATATCCTCTGTAATGTTATTAGTTTTTGTGTTTTATGTGTGCTCAAATAAATAAGAGTTTAGTTTACTTTTTGCTTTTCTTTTCTTTTCTTTATCTAATAACTAAAGTTAATAATTAGGTTATATTTTTAGTTGGGCAGTCTGCATGGGCAGAGCATGCTGTCAGCATAGCAGACATGCTGGCGCTTTTGAAAGCATATTTTTTTAAAAATATTGATAAACCTTATGTTTTTACCGTTTTAAACAAAAAATATCGCTCAAGTCTTCATTATATTGATTCATGTTTTTATTTCTAGGTAGAGTTTTAGTAAGTCAATATTAGCTGTCACTATTTTATCTGAACAACCTTAATTTGGAAGAGGTAGAGAGTCGCAAGTATCAGCTAGAATGGTGATACTTCTGAAGCAGATTTAACTCCTAAAGTATGGAGGGTTAAAGGAAAAAAACCTTAAATTAATAGGTGTAAATGCATAATGAAAAAGAGTACTTGTATCATGAAATAATTCAATGTAAGATTAAACAAATAAATGTGCCAATAAATGTAACATTAAATAAATAAATATACCATCTATATTTTAATACATCATGTAGTAATTAAATGTACCATTTGATTAGGAAAAATTTATTTTATTATCGTTTATTATGACATTAAATAATAATAGTAGTAAAAAAAATGTTGCAAATATATTTCTTTATTTCACTAATTGCTGTCAGGTTAGCCCATCAAACATAGTGGGCGGAACTAGAGCAACTTCCAAAGGAACTCTTGACTTTTGATTGGCTGCTTTTCTCTGAGAAAGACAGGAGAACTTTGTGGTTTTCTTTTACACTAACCCCACATTTTTGCCTTGTAACAATTATTTTCTAAAACTTGTTGCCATATATTTGCAGCACATTGGGTGAGCATCTCCAGCCTCTATATCACTGGTTTCATCACTTAAAAATGTATCAAAGAACGGGAGTCAGTGTTAGCCTGTGGGCGGAGCTTCGGCTGAAAACAGTGACAGAGCCCGCCCTGCTAACACACAGGAAGCTCTCTCGTAAGCCTATTAGACATATTTCTGACCAAACTAGAGAAATAGAGGCTGGAGTTAGTCATCCAATGTGGTGTAAATAACTGGTGACACATTTTAGAGTTTATTCCCATGTTTTTCAGCGATAATATTTAATTTAGAAAAAAAAAATGACGTTGTTTTGCTTATTGAGTTGCAACCTATCAGACGTCAGGGTTTTAATGACAGTGGACCTAGTCCCACCTTCTTTATTTTAACGAACACAGGACAGTTGTGCTGCCCTATCCCAGAACATGAAATAATATTATCAAATTATGAAATATCTGTGTTGACTTCTTAAAATAAAACCAATTTATTTAACCGAGGTCCATATAATTAATTATATATTAATTAAATGCAGTCTGTATTTATTTCCAGTTTGAAAAGATTAATTACACATTCAAATTATTATTCTATAAGTTATTTTTTTGTTTTATTGTGGCACTCATCACCCTCCACAAATTTTAAAGCTGAGTTCAGGTGACCCTCTATGTCCTAAATTTTTCACCACATTTTTAGAGTGTGTAGAGGAAAGGCAATGTTGCCTTTTATGCTCATTCAGTCAAATATTTTTCCCCCTTTTTGCTCCTAATACTGATGTTCGATTTAATTTGGAAATAAAAATGTATATCTGAGGATGACGTCAAACCTATTTTTTTTACTTTTAAGAACTAGGAATCTGTTATTGTTATTTTGCTACTACTAGCAACACAAATCAAAAGCAATATATTTGGTATCATTTGTTCCTTCAGCCGTGGTTATATGTTTGCTAATGTGGCGTGGAACCATCAGGAATTATTCAGTGTTTGTTAGCATGTAAGTACATATTATTACATGCTAAGTAAGTACTGATAACAACTCTATACAGTCTCACTTTAATAATCCATCCCTTTAAAGGGATAGTGATGGATTTCTGAAAGTGATTGTCGTGTTGAGAGGTTTAAGAAGAAGCTGATTGTAAACTATCTTGACATCTTCATTTGATCTAAACCCTGATTAGTTGTTCTGGAGGTCGGGACTAAGGATAAGCCAGACAGGAGCCAAGAGATTTACTCAAAAAATCTAAATTTATAAACTCCTCAACCAGCAGCACAGACTTCGATAGACTTTTTTCAAGTTTTACATCTTAAAGCTGAGATAGTGTTACCATAATTAGGAGATTTAACATTTAAAAGCGGATTTGTTCATTGAATGCTTTTAACAAAACTCACCTGCTTGTCATTGCTGATTCATTACGCTTTTTTTGATATTACGACCAGTTCTTGTAAAGTTAGGGACATATGATTTGATACAAAAATTCTAATAATTGTTTGACTACCAGCTCTACCAAATAACTTACTTTTAGTTCCTGTTTTTTTAATACTGTAGTTTGTGGAATTAAATATATGTCAAATAAGACCATATATCCTCCTTCAACCCTGCATAGTTTAATATTTAAGTGTTTAAAGGAGATTTTTCCCATTATGCACTGTTTATCCCTCATTATTACTATTATTAGATCAGGTAGATGGTGTTGGACAAGATAAACTCATGGCAGACGGTTTCTTTTTTTTTTTTTTTTAGACATCAGATTTAGGGCAGTGAGATCTGACGTAATTCAGGATGCATTATTTATAACATCAGAACAAGCAAAACAGCCTCCGACACGAGAAGCTGGCTCAGAGCATAAATTGGTAATGGCTCCCCTTTCAGAACTTAATGGAGCTCTCACGTCTGTAGTAGCGAGGCCCGGTTGGTGGATCCGGCCGCAGGGGAAAGCATTTTGCCCAGGATGCAGCCTGAGTTTCACTTCTCTGAAGATCGAATGCAATTTTTTTTTGTCTGCTAATGGGACATTTGAGAGGCTAC